CCAGACACTCCTCAGGGTGTTGGCTCTGCAGACATCCCCTCCCAGACTTTACCTTGCAGAGGGGACCACTCTTCCCTAATGAGAGCTAGCATTTTCCCTTCACTGGAAGATGCTGCAGAGCCTGCTCCCTCAAGGCAACTCGTATCCCCCTCCAAGGAGCTGTGTCCAGCCCCTCTCCTGGTTCCTAAACTGAAAACTAGGATTAAATCCCACATTTAATCCAGCATAACCTGGCTAGGTCAGTCCTGAGCCTAGTAAAGAGAAGAAAGAATAACACCAAAGAGCTGCAAGAATTAGCTGACAGGCACTGACAGCAGCCAAGGAAGCATTGGGTTTGGATTTTTGAGGGTGCTATATCAAGAGGAACAGAAAAGCAAAAATTCACTGATTTGAGAGGACATTCTCAAAATACAGATTTAATCCCCTGGCAAGGACCTGCAGGAGATACAAAGTCTCTACTAAGGTGGCTCTTAGAGGCTTGGAGAAAGTGATGGCTACCACTGAACAAAATGACATGCCTGAGCTGTCCTGACAAATGGCAAAAGAAGGAATGAAAAGGCAGAGGGAAGTGGACGTGCTACAGTGGAAAAACCCCATGAGACGGTAGTGTTCCATGGGGCGGGGGCAGGGAGGTGCAGGAACACCTCATTTACCAAGGCCATCAGGAAGGCACTGATAAAAGGGGCACCAGCATCACTAAGTGCAGAGGTGACCTCCTCTATTGGCCAGGGATGGCAGTAAGAGACCATCACAGAGCTGAGGCCCTAGAGTAATAGTGACCAGGTAGAGGTGCTACCTTCCAAAAGCCAGAAGGTTGCAAACACCAAAATGAACCACAAGGCCTGAATGACAGCCAAGAGAGCCTTACCCACAGGGAGTTGCAGAGATGGCGGATGGACTGTGGTGTCCCTAGGAATAATACAGATGGACAGCGAGCAAGGGTATCAGGATCTACAAGCTGAAAAAGACAACAGTGGAGGAGCAGGGGTTTCAGGGAGGTTTCCCCAATAAAAATTCTGAATTCCTTGCTCAGTTTCCAAACTTCAGCTGTTTGCAGACCTGGAAGAGGTAGCTTGGTCCGTAGAAGGAAGGACAAGGATGAATATCCCCTCAGTACTTCCCTTAAAGGGACTTATAGCCACTTGCTTCAATGTATGAACACTGAGGAAAGAATAGCCAGAGATTTGAGGAATACTGGATTCAAGATCAAAGTTGACATTTGTACCTAGAGACCTGAAGCATGATCACAGCCCTGTTAGACTGGAGGTTTCAGGGCTGAATAATAACTGAAGGCCTGGCCTATAACAAGACTCATAGGGGGCTTGCAGACCTGCCTAGTGGTCATTTCCCACTCCCCAAATGTGTGACTGGAACCGAGTTGCTGCTTGAGAGTAATCCCCACATCGGTCCTTAGCCTAATGGGTAAGAGCTGTCACATGAGGAAAGTCAAGTGGAAACCTCTGAAACTGTTCCCCTCCACCATGGACAAGAATAAACTGGGATGGTTACTTTTCTGTGTCAACTTGCCTCACGCTGTAGGGGGGTTGTCAATCAATTAATCAAACATCAATCTAAATGCTGCTGTGAAAGCATTTTATAGATGTGATTAACATCTACAATCAGTTGATTTTAAGTAAAGGAGATTATCCTCATTCAGGGTGGGCCTTATCTAATCAGTTGGAAGAACTTAATAGCAAAACTGAGATTTCCCTGAAGAAATTCTGCCTGTGGACTGCAGTGTCAGCTCCTGCCCAAGCATTTCCAGCCTCATAAATTTCAGACTTAAATATCCTGCCCTATAAATTTCAGACTTGCCTAGCCAGCTCCAACAACTGCATAATTCAATTCCTTGCCCCCCCCACCACCACACACACACACACACACACCTCAGAGCTATCAGGGGTTCAGTTCTAGACTACAATAAAGCGAGTATCACAATAACACGTTAATGTATCTTTTCATTTCCCACTGCATATAAAACTTATGTTTACACTATACTGTAGTCTAAAGTGTGCAATAAATAGCATTATGCATAAAAAACCAATGTACATACCTTAATTGAAAAAAACTTTATTGCTAAAAATGCTAACCATCATCTGAGCTTTCAGTGAGTCATAACCACTGGTCACAGATCACCATAACAAATGTAATAATAATGAAAAAGTTTAAAATATGGCAATTACCAAAATCTGACAGGGACACGAAGCAAATGGTGTGAGGAAAAATGACACCAAGACTTCTTTGACACAGGGTTGCCACAGTCCCTTAATTTATAAAAAAAGTTATCTGTAAAGCACAATTAAGCAAAGTATAAGACAAGGTATGCCTGTATGTTTTCTCATTAGGAACTGGCTTACAGCAGGATACATATATTCTACTGGTTGTTTCCCTGGCAGAACCCTAAACAATACATAAAATAATAATACAGCTCAGGGGAGACAGAGTAGATCAGTGTTACTATTAAAAACCTAAAAGATGCAGAGAATGGTAGCCCTTGTATCTTTGCACCTATAGCAAAATGGGGGTTCCAGGATGACCAGCTGGGGCAGAAAACAATTTGAGCTTGGTGGGTCATCACAAAATGAAGATGAATGTTATCTGCATTCAGCCACATTCAGGGGAGGAGAAAGAAAATTTTTCCAATGGACAGAACCTCAAGCAGTACACTTGACTTGGTGTAAAAGGAGTGGCCAAAATTGAGAATATTTATTGCATATATACCAACTCCTAGGCTGTGGTCAATGGCCTATCTAGTTGGGATACTGGAAGGAAAAGAGCTGAAGATTAGAGACAAGGTCTGGTGTAAATGCTGTGGACTGACACGTGGGAGTAGGCAAACTGTGAATATTTCTGTATCACGTGTTAACATCCATCAGAGCATCCATCACAGAAGAGGCACTGAACTGCCAAGCACACAAAAGGACTCAGCCAGGTACACTGGCCTTTGTCAATGATACCACACAACTGGCACAATGGACACATAAGCAGAGTGGCCACAAGGGCCAACGGAGGTCCAACAGCAAGGACTCCTGCTTACCAAAGCTGATCTAATAGGAACTCCTCTGACAGATTGGCTCAAGAACTCACCACTGGTCTTGCTGAAACATTCTCAGAACACCACAGTAGTATAAGACTTTTCCTACTCAAACTTCCTTCTTCCCTCCCCGCTTTTCCAGAGATTAGACCTCTATCAGAGTCTGACTGCTTTTCCAGACTCCTCTTGCCTCCTTCCCCATTTTCTTTCATGGGCATTTTCCCCTAAAAAAAACTCTCTTGTGCATCTAATCTTGGACCCAAAATAACATACCAGGTAAACTAAATGTGCCCACTATTAAAAATGTATTCCTCTACTACTTGGCAATGAGAAAGAATGAAATCTGGCCATTTGTAGCAACGTGGGTGGAACTGGAGGGTATTATGCTAAGTGAAATCAGTCAGAGAAAGACAGATATCATATATTTTCACTCATATGGGGAACTTGAGAAACTTACCAGAAGACCATGGGGGAGGGGAAGGGGAAAAAAAAGTTACAGAGAGGGAGGGAGGAAAACCATAAGAGACTCTTTAAATACCAAGGACAAGCTGAGGGTTGATGCGGTGGGGAGAGAGGGGAAAGTGGGTGATGCGCATTGAGGAGGGCATTTGTTGGGATGAGTACTAGGTGTCGTATGGAAACCAATTTGACAATAAATTATATTTAAAAATGTATTCCTCTGTTTTACAGGATCAGAAGTTCAATTTTAATAATTCAGCAGGGATATTAAGGTCCTGGGAACTAATTCCTACCAAAGTCATAAGGGACTGATTGATAAAGTAAAAGGGCAAGATTCTCAAGATGAGAAAAAACTGCCAAGGAGACCAGATGGATATGCGATGGAACTGACAGTATTCCCATCTCAGCAAGAACAGCTAATTAAAAAGGAAACTAGGCCCACAAGTGGCCTGGTATGTCTGAAACATGGAAAAGGAGTGGCTAGCCAAGAGGCAGAAACCCAAATGTCCATCCACTGATGAATAGATAAACAAAATGTGGTATATCCATACAATGGGATATTATTCAGCCATTAAAAGGAACAAAGTACTGATCCATGCTACAACACAGATGAACCTCAAAAACATACTAAGTGAAAGACACTAGACACAAAAGGCCACATATTGTACAATTCCACTTACATGAAATGTCCAGAATAGGTATTCCACAGAAATGGAAAGCAGACTGGTAGTTGACAGGGACAAGGAGGAGGGAATGGAGAGTAACTGTTTAATGGGGACAGGGTTTCATTTTGGAGTGATGAAAATGTTTTAGGACTAGACAGTGGTGGTGGTTTTATAACACCATGATTGTACCAAATGCCACTGAATTATCCCTTTAAAATTGTTAATTTCATGTTATGTGAATTTCACCTCAATATAAATAAATACATACATACATAAATAAATAGCAAGGAAAAAAGTAGAGACATATCAACCAAAAAAACAAAATGCGAAAAAAAAGATGTTTATAAAAAATTTTTTTAAAGGAGGGTGGGGTGCAGAGGGAGCGGGCTGGTGTTAGGAATCAATATCACATTCACATCAAGCTGTCCGAACCTAGTTAAACCACACTTCTCTATTCTATGGCTATACCTGCCAACTGGAAAGGTCACCTAAACATCTAGCACAAAGACCAGAATTCTAGAATTGCCTGATATTTCCCCTTTCCTGGCAATTTTGTCATAAATTGGGGTCATAAATTCAAGGGCCATGTTTATGAAACCAAATTTAGGATACCTCCTCCAGTAGGTACCGAGCATATTCCCAGGAACAATGGATTTCACTTAAAAATCCAGGATATTTGGCTGTTAAAACTACAGCTGTCTATGACTCTAATACTCAAGGGATTAAAAGAATTCAGCCTCAGAGATTTTACTTATAGTAATAGTAAAAGCATAACTGAATATGATTGCATTTTAAAGGCCTAGTTCATTTGCAATTCTACCAGGCAGTCACGGGCTGCAGTTTCAGTGATGCCTGCGGTCACTGGGGTTAGAGGACTCCCGGTCCCGGGAGTGTCGGGCCCTTTTATGCCTGTGGGATTTATCTCGGCTCCTACTTCTACTTCTCTGACTATGTCCCTCAGAACGTCCATTGTGCCGGCCGGAATGTGTGTCTGAGCTTCGACATCTATCTCTATCCCTGTTCTTTTCTTCTCTTTCTTCCCTCCTGGTTGAGGACCTATGTTCATGCTTAGCCTTCTCCTTCTTCGGCTCCCTCTCTCTGTCTTCTGCTCCACTGCGGCAGATGGTCCTGACCTCAGGAGAGCTGGGATAGTGCCTCCGCACCTCTCTGGACTCTGACTTCTGACCCCTCTCTGAGTTCTTGCTGCTGTGCTTTTTAGAGCCAGGGTCATCCTTTTCCTTTATCGCCTTGCTTCTGGGTGATGAAGAGGAGGCTGGCTGCTCTGCCTGTACCTCCCGGTCAGTCTTCTCTTTGTCTTTCTTTCTTCTCTTTTTTTCCTTTTTGTCTGGAGGAAAAAAGGGGCGCAACCAATAAGGAAAGGAAGATGGAGGAGAGGGAGGGTATAAGCAAAAGGAAGGCACCATGGGCAGCACTGTGTGTGAAGCAGTCATAATCTATACTTCCAGAAAGTGTCTCTGAGAAGCCAAGTTGGATGTCTGTCAGCCTTGATATGTCAAGATGCTGTATAAGGCAGTTCTCACCCTTAATTACCTTTCTAAAAACCCTAACTACAAATACACTCACATTCTGAGGTACTAGAGGATTAGGACTTTAATGTATGAATTTTAGGAGACAGAACTCAGCCCATAATATTTGTCTTCCACTGATACCTCTCCTTTCCCAATTAAAGCAAGGTTTCCCAAACACCTTTCCCCTTCACACTTAAGAACTGATTATCAACTCTCAGTGAACACTAGGAAGAATAAACACTTAGACTACCCAGAATCTTCTCTCGGAACTTAACGCTTTACCTTTTTTGTGTTTTTTTGTGGGTTTGTCATCTTCAGAACCCTCAGATGAACTCTCTGAGGGGGTAAAAGCCCCACAGCCCTTCTCCTGGAGTTCTTTGGTCATATCATCCATTTCTTCTGAGTCCTTAGGAGCCCGATAGTTAGACACATGATCCACTCGGATAGTTCTTCCTTTGATCTAAGACAGACAGGCAATGCTTCAGCAAAGATGGCCCTCCTATCAAACTATTTGAACCCAGCTGCAGAAAGCCATGGTTTGAACCACACCCCTTACCTTCCTGCTAATTCTATTTCTGGGGAAATCACTAAAGCAGACCTGTCCAACTGGTGTGTAACAGCACATACACCCAGATTATAACTTGCTCAGCCCTTGGGGCATCCAGATAGGGCCAGGGGCAGCTGGAGTTCCTGAGGCAGTCATACTAGACAGCCTTGTCACTTTACTCCAGTGTACCACACAATAACCTTCATGTTCTACACTTGCATTAAGTGAAAAAAGCCTGGCTGGTACTGTCCAAAGCACAAGCAGCAGGGGAAACTGTGAGAATTCACATGCAAAATTACCCTCAATCTGTAACATTAATTTACAGTAAAACATACCATGGTCTGGCAGCTAGAAAGAATTCCTGAAATCAAGTGCAATGCTACAGCTGTTTTCTTGATACAGCAAGTAGGATGAGGCCAAGGCAGACCAACAGTTGGGAAGGGGGAAGGAATCTTTTTTCTTCAGCCCTCATACCTTGCTCTACCCTCACCATAGTGGAACAACTGGCTCATACTGATACTTTTGTTGTCAATCACAACTCTCTGGGTGAACAACAAAAAATTAACCCCTCACTTAAAAACATTTGGGCAGATACAGACTTATTCTATAGGCAAAACAATCCAAAATTTGAAAAGTCTGGCTTTTATTGTTCCCACACAAGAGCAGATTTTTATTCTTACCTTTAAGTCTGAGTAGCTTCTGTCATCTATCCTATTCCCCTTTTCAAAAACATTTTTGAAAACCTCCCTTTCATGGTGACGCCATTTGACTGCTGACCCTTATAAATCAAGCCTAGAACCTTATTCCATCCTGTCCTATAGTCTCCAGCTGCTCCATACTGGTGCAATCAGTGACAAACTCTCCAAGTCAAAAGTCACCCCCCCCCCCAACCTATGACAATGTTCATCCAACTGCTAAATAAGCATAGGAATTGGGTGGAGCATAGATAAACCTGACTTGTCCCATCACTTTCTCTCAGCCCCAGGGTGAACTGAGAGGAAACAGAGGAGAAAAAACTTCAGAAGGAGTGATTTTTGTAGAATTTGTCATCAGACTTTAACTAGAGAATTTCCAGGGCCCAGTAATGCTAAGTGACTGGAGACATATGACAGACATACAAAGCCATGTCTCAGAGCATGAAGCCATGACACAGCCCCAAATCCCCTGACAGAGGATAGCATGAAAGAGCAATATTTGAGAGTCTCTTTGCTGCCCAATACGTCAGAGGTGAGAGTGGGGTGTGAGGATGGAAAGGTGAGAAACAAGAGGCTTGGTTTGGGGCATGGTGCATGGTACCCATGCTCCTGGGAAGATGAACATGAGGAAAAGGAACAATTGTTAGTAGGGTCATAAGCCAAAGAAATCATTTCCTGGGATCATTTCCTGGTCAGTATGTCCCCACACCTCTGCAACCCTCTCACACACCCAGCTGACCAGTACTGTCCTTGAACCTGTGGCGATCAGGTGGGAAATTAAACCAAACCCCTACATACAGGAAAAGTCCAGCCAAATCCTGCTTAGTGAACACACTCACCTTGATCCCATTAAAATTGTCAACAGCAAGAACTGTGCTCCTCTGGTCTTCATAGCAGAGGAAACAGAATCCTTTGGATTTCCCAGTCTTCTTGTCCCGCACCAGATTAATGTTAACAATCTCCCCATATCTATTTATTTTATAAAAGAGTAAGACACTATTGATTTAAAATGCAAAACTTTCAACTGAATGACAAAACAAAATTCAAATAATATAGTCTGTACAGGAGACATATCTAGAACAAGATGACACAAAAGTTAAAAATAAAAATTAGATGATATAGCATGAACACTCAATTAAAAAATGGGTGGTAATATTAAGACTGAAGATGAATTCAAGGCCAAAAAAATATTTAAATGGGACTAAAAGAGCTCTTTTACACTGAAAAAGATCCTAATATATTACAAAGATATATCATGAAACTTTATGTATAAATTAACAAATCAAAAATTTTAATTAAGAAAAGTATGAGAAATACAAAGAAAAACTAATAACAAAAGTTATGAGAGATTTTAACATACCACTTTAAGTTTATAACATATAATGTTGACAAAATTAAGGTCAGAGAAATATCAATATATAATTATGTAATACAAAGAAACATAATTAATAATATAACAATTATAATGTTAAATATTAATGTCAAACTAGTGGATATATAGATACATTTAAATCTCACAAAACGAGGACAATTTCTTCTAAAGAGTCTAAAATTGACTATAACCTCCAAAAACCTCAATAACCTCCAAAAACCTCAATAACCTCCAAAAACAGAACAGACCATGTCCTCCAATCACAAAGTTATACAGCCGAAAATAATATTTTAAATAAAAAAATACCCTAGGGGCGCCTGGGTGGCTCAGTCAGTTAAGCATCCGACTTTGGCTCGGGTCATGATCTCGCAGTACATGAGTTCAAGCCCCGTGTTGGGCCCTGTGCTGACAGCTCAGAGCCTGGAGCCTGCTTCCAATTCTGTGTCTCCCTCTCTCTCGGCCCCTCCCCCACTCTGCTCTGTCTCTCTCTGTCTCTCAAAAATGAATAAATGTTAACTAATGTTAACTAAATGTTAACCCTATTAACTAAAACTTGAAACCTACTCTCTTAGCTAACAACTGGATCAAAGAAAAAGTGAAATAAAATGAAGAAAAACATCAATGGCAGAGTACTTCAAAAAAAAAAAATGAGAAGTATATATACCAAAACTTACAGGATAGGGCAAAAACCATACTCAGGAAAATCTGTAACCTTAAAGAGTTTTACATCAAAAAGACAGAATTAATATAAAAGAAAACAAACATAAGGAAAGCAGATGGGAATTAATACAGATAAAAGCAGAAATTGATTAAATAGAAACTAGAAAATTCTACATTATTCCTTGTACAAAGTTAAATTCCAGCTAAGTTAAAGATTCCTAAGTTAAAAAGTAAAGTCGTAAAAATAAAATAGGAATTGGGCGCCTGGGTGGCTCAGTCAGTTAAGGGTCCGACTTCAGCTCAGGTCATGATTTCACAGTTCATGAGTTTGAGCCCTGCATCAGTCTCTCTGCTGTCAGCACAGAGCCCACTTCGGATCCTCTGCCCCACCTCTCTGCCCCTCCCCAGCTTGTGTTCTCTCTCTCTCTCTCTCTCTCTCTCTCTCTCTCTCTCTCTCTCTCTCAAAATAAATAAATAAACTTATTTTAAAAATAGCTATTGATTGATACTTAGTAACATGATCATATACATACATCCCAGCCAGGTATGTAGCATCTTACCAAATAGAAAATACAGGCTACTCGTCCAATGTTTACTTTATGCCACTTTGCTTTTACAAAAGACCTATATTAGTACCTGTTTTCACTAAGAAATCTGAAGAGGATTTTTGCTTTTATGAAATGGTAATTGCTTTTCCACCTTATGCCATTTCAGCTTAGAAAAAGCTTTTACAGAACACTACCTTCGGCTAGCAGGGGAAACCTGTACCTGGGCCAATTCAACTGAGGCCAGGAACTATTTAACACTATTTAACATTGTAGGTATTGGACAATGCAATTACACAGGAGAAAACATGTAAAAAATGAAAAAGAAGTAGTAACACTATCTCTGAAGATTATATAGGATAGTCTGTATAGAAAACCCAAGAGAAACAATGAAAAAAACAGTGTAACAATTCAGTAATAGGATACAAAGTTAAAAAAATAAATCACTCTCTTACATACAAACAATCAGTTAGAAGACATAATTAAAGATAAACCCCATTTTTAATAGTAACAAAAAGATAAAATACTTAAAAATAAACTTAACAAGCAATGCACAAAGTCTATATAAAGAAAACTTTTAAAAACTGAAACACCACACAGATTTGAACAAATATGAAGACATCCCTTGTTTTTGGATAGGATGACTCAACATCATAAAGACAGCAACATCTTCCCCAAGTTAATACTTAAATTTCATGTAGTATAAGTTGTGTTTTATTTAGCTGAAGAAGTTGATTCTAATGTTCTCATGGGAAAATGAACATATAAGAATAGATGGAAAAACTTCAAAAAAGAACAAGGAGAGGGAACAACTCTCCTAGATTTTAAACACACTGCAAACTTCTATGATTGATTAGTGTGGTACTGGCACGTGAAGAGACAGACCAACAAAAGAGAACAGAAAGCCAATAAAGAGGGATGCCTCGGTCCCTCAGTCAGTTAAGCATCTGACTCTTGATTTCAGCTCAGGTCAGTCAGGAGATCAAGCCCTGCTCAGTGGGGAGCCTGCTTGGGGTTCTCTCTCTCCTTCTCTGCCCCTCCCCTACTTATGCATGCATTCTTTCTCTCTCTCTCCCTCTCCAGCTCCCTCTCTCCCTCCCTCTCTCTCTCTCAAAATAAATAAACTTTATAAAAACATTAAAAAAAAAGAAAGCCAATAAAGAGACACAAGTATATATGGTAAAGTAACATGGTAAAGGTAACATCTTAATTTGCTTGGGAAAATATGGACTTTTTTATAAATGTGGGAACTGAACAACCATTGAAAAAAAACATGAAAGTGAATCTGTATCTCACACTATCAGAATAACCCTAAATGGATCAGACTTCAATGCATAAAACTGAAACTATACAAGTACTAGAAGAGAATACAGATGGGTGGAGTGGAGAGAAATACTGTCTAATTATGACTCAAAATCCAGAATCAATAAAAAAAAAGACTGATAAATTTGATCATATAAAACACTAGAGCATGAGACTATAAAGGGACAGCACAAAGGAGTTTTTGGGGTGATGGAATTGTTCTTTATCCTAATTGTGGGGTAACTACACAAATCTATACACGCATTAAAGCTCACAGGACTGTACACCCCCTAAAAAGTCAATTTTACCACATGATAATTTAAATACACGAATGAATAAAAATTTTTTTTAATTCTAAATAGCAAAAAAAAAAAAATCACAAAGTCAAAAGACAAATGACAAATTAGGAGAAAATATTTACAATTTATACCACAGATAAAGGACCAGAAAGTAATTGCTTTTCCTATTCTGTAAAGAATCTTAGCAGGACAACTGGTAAAGCTGAATAAAGCCTATGGATTAGGCTTAATACAATACTATTGTATCAGTGTTAACTTCTTGAATTGATCACCATACCGAGGTTAAACAAGAGAATGCCCTTGTTTGGGGGAAAATACACACTGAAGAATTTAGGGATAAATGGTCACCATGTCTGTAACTGACGCTCAAATTATTCAGAAAAAAAATAACAGGTATACATAGGGAGAAATAATGACAAGGCAAATGTGGTAAAATGTTAACATTTAAGAAAAAGGGAAATAGGTATTCCTTATACTACTTTATAACTTTCATAATTTAAGTCTGAGATTATTTCAACATAAAAAGTAAAAGAAAAAATATAGGAACTCATTTAAACGGACTCCTATAGACCAAACTGGTACAATTTGTGCATCAAGATATAATGATGATGGCAATGTAGTAGAACACATCAAATTAAGTACAATAAGCCCACAGTAACACAGTACATGACAAAATGTTATAACAAAGAGTTAACATCAATTAAGAGCTTTTGTAAAATCACTAAGAAAATGAGGAACACACCAACAGCAAAAAACAAGCAAGGGATATGAATAGACACTTAAAAAATAATAATGGCATGTAAATCTATGAAAAGATTACATCAACCTCACTGATGATTAAATAAAGGCAAAATAAAATAATAATGAGAAGCCATACAACAAATATTTTTTAAAATTACCACGGTTGATTAGCATTCACAAAAATGGGCATTCTAGTGAGGGTAGAAATCGGTACAACCTTCAAAGAGCAATTTGATCATATTTATAAAACATCTTAAAAACGCTAACATATTGATCCAGTAATTTCACTACGGAAGGTATGAATCCATACAGAGATGTATATACTACCATGTATGCTGCAATACAATTTATAATGGCAAAATATTAGAAATAATGCCCAACATTAAATAAAAAATAAATACACCAAAATGTTGTTTTTCCTTAAAGTACATTCTATTTCCTTCTTTATGCTTTTCCTTTTTGCCAAATGATTATGCATTATAATGATTATACATTACCTTGATAATCAGAAAACAAAACATTTTTTGAAAACCACTGTTATCAATGGCAACAGCAATCTTCATGGAGAGCAATGTGTGTAGCCAGAATTGAGAATTAGAATAAACAAACACTAGCTGATCATCACTCAATGCAAATAAGACAAGAACAGCCCCTAAATGGAGGGCTGGACCAGGCAGAGGTATCCTAAGGGGTGGAAGCTGCACCTGCTGCGAACTTCCAGCTGCCCAGAATTTGGAGGAAGCAGCCTCTGTCCCTCTCAGGGCACTCTGCCAGTGTAGGATGCCAAGGCCCTCTACCACGGCCTTCTTCTCATGTGTACTGCCCAATTTCCTTCCCATGGCCCTATGTCCCAAATGCTGCCCAACCACTCATCCAGGGTCTCCTTCCTATAGGATGGTCCAATCATCTACTGCCATGGCAATGTCTCTGCCATGGTGTGCTGGCTGTGTTTGCTTGCCCAAACCCTTTTGCCACTGTCTTCTGCCTATTCATGCAGCTTCCCTGCAACAGTCCTCTGCCCTCAGGGCCCCTCTGGCCCTACAGACTGTCTAACCACTCTGTGTCACTCTGGGTTGTGCCCAGTCCCTCTCCTCCCAGCTGTCACTACCAGTGCGAGCTGCCAAATCGCTCTCCCACCCCAGTACTGCTGCTTTCATCTCATAGCAGAATGAAGAGTATAAGGTTCACCTACTCATTCTTGTTCCTCACCAGCCTGTAATTCTCAGCTTCTGGATAAAGAGATTGGCTCTGCTCACTAACCTCATGCTCATCTAGAAACAAAGAAAACAAACTGCTACCTAAACCTTTTGCTTTTTTTCCCCACTCCTCTGTGCTTTGCCCTAATCCTACAACACCACACAGGTGTGTGCCAGAAGGGCCCTGGGACCATGGGTTACCCTTAGTTTGTAGGAGTCCAAGGAGCTCCACATAGTAGCTTCTTGTGAGTTCCACTCTGTTTGCGTGTAGGCCGAGGCTGGACAAGCCTCAGTGAAAGAGCAGTAAAAATAGACCATAATCCCTAAGATGGCTTCCTAAATTATCCAACTTCTTGGATTTTGCATATTGGGAGACTTCTATAACCATGTCCTGGGGCTGATCTAGACTAGAGCAGATGCTCTAGCCTTCCCCATGCAGGGAGACCAATCAGCCTAGAATTAAAATAAATGGATTTTATGATGCCACAAAATGCTTTATAGTAGCACACTCTGATGATCCAGAAGTCAGGAAATGAAAAAGACTTACTGTGAGAACACACAAATGATGTCCCCTTCAGTCAGTTCATAAGGAAGTCCTCCTAGAAGACAAAAAACACATTTCAATTCCACAAACATTTACCAAGTGTATATTACATACCATGCACTAGGCCTGGCACTGGGGGTGCAAAGAAGAGTAAGCCACAGGGCCTGCCCTCAAAGAATTCAGTCTGGGGCCCCTGGGTGGCTCAGTCAGTTAGGCATCCGACTGTGGCTCAGGTCATGATCTCATGGTTAGTGAGTTCAAACCCTGCATCAGGCTCTGCTGTCAGCACAGAGCCTGCTTTGGATCCTCTGTCTCCCTCTCTCTCTCTCTCTCAAAAATAAATAAACCTTCAAAAAAAGAAAAAAGAACTCACAGTCTGATGATATGATAGAAGCATATATAAGGTGCAGCAGTAGGGCAGGAAAAGGAGTGATTAACTTTGACTGAAAGGTTGTGTGTCAGCACTAACCAAATACTCCTCACACCCAAAAGCTTATGGACAAAGCAGATAGTTTCCAACATAAAACTCTACTTCCACAAACATATCTTGAACTCACCTGTTCTTTTACCCGCAAATTCACAACTAAGTTCCAAAATCAGTTTAAGTTAGAAAATTTTAACCCCACCTCACATAGACTAAGGATTATAAAGACAACTGTTGAGCATTCCATAGGAAAGAAATTCCTCTGCAAATCATTCCTTCCTCATCTGTAAAATGGGAATATTAGTACTTACCCCACAGAACTGTTGTGAGAATTAAATAAAACAATGGATATAAAATGCTTAGCACAGTATCTGGTGCAATAACCCCTTTGAACAAACTGTCACATTACTGGATGTGACACAAAGTGAACGCAGAGATGATCATATGGCCATGGAGAGAAGGCAGGAGCTAATTAGATGAGGAGAATTAATTCTGAGGGAAGGGGAAAGAGGGGCTAGCAGTAATACAGGATTGTGGCTAAGACCATGAGTTCCAGAATCCCACAGTTCTGGTTGCTCCACATACTAGCTATGTGACCTTAAGTCCATTAACTTCTCTGCACCTCAGTTTCCTCAGCTGTGTAATGGGAGAGGGGACACGGTATGGTAACAACTGTCTCTGACAAACCAAGTGGCAAGACTCTTACCACAGTGAATGGCAAAGGGTAACTATCGTGGGCACTGATTTGGCAGGGGGAGCAACTAGAAATGGGGGAGAGAGAGATATGAAAAAAGGATTTAAGGGGCAGACAGCAGAAGGAAATAAGTGTGATGAATGCTGGGAAGAATTAAAGGCGGGAATGCTGAAATATTAAAAAGCAGGCCAGGACAGAATGACGAGTAGTGCGGGAGAAAGATGTGGACCTCACCCAGGAAGATCCAGGCGCTGTCCTTGTACTCGGAGTGCCAGGACACCTTATCTGCCACCCCAAGCTGGACCTCACGCTCATTCAGCTCGTTGATCAGCTTCACTTTAGTTAAAGGGCTGCAGAGACAGGCGGACGTTAAGTGCGGCCTGGCCAGATGTAAGGGAGAGCAAAACTAGGGGGGTAATTTTTCAGTCTCCGCGCCTCTCCCGACCCTCGGCCCGGCAGACGCTCTACCACCCCAGCCATGGTGGGCCACCTCCCGCGGCCGGTCCCTACTTCCCCAAAGATAAGCTGAGGCCTTACTTCATCTCCGCGGGTCCACGCTCAGCAGCTAGACATTGACTTCCGGGCGAGCCTGCAACGCGCATGCGCAGCCCTGACGCCTCGCGCCCATTGGATTCCGCGGTGCTCGCCCCGCGCCGGAAGGCTGGACAGCGCCAGGGCGTAACGCTTGCGCACTAGCGTGGAAAAGGACTTACCTTGCTCCGTAGGTTTCGCGGTACCGGAGAATTTTTGTCTAGTCCGTCGCTTCCTCCCTATGTGAAATGGGGCGTGAATGTGAGCCGGGTTTATTGCCGGACTCTCAGCTCCTGGACGACGCCTCACACTGATTGGGCTACCTATAAATGCTGAATAAAGACTGGAAAAGGTGCCTGTTATGGCAACTTTAGTCTCAGCCTTTGCTCTCAGTGCAAATCCCTACTCGGGCTTCTACTCCCAGCTAATCTTAGCTCACACACACATACACCCATCAAAGCATCTCTGTCCAGGAATTACAACAGAAAAGTGAAGAAGATACGCGAAAGGATAAACCTTTTTTTCTTCCTCAAATCCAAATGCATAGGCAATTGACCAGCGTGTCTCTATAAGCTGAATTGAATACCCAGATTTGTGTGAAAGCTGCTATCCTCACCCTTTTCCAGTCTCGCTGCTACTTGAGCAGGAGGCAGAAATAGTTAAAAAGCTAATAAGTTAGCAGATGCTAGTTTGTGTGCTAAGCAATTTACATGTATTGGCCCTCCATTCTCACAACTACTCCATAAAGCCTATAGATAAAATTACCCTCTTCATTTTATAGAGGGAGAAACTGAGATTCAAAGGAGTTAACTAGTTGTTTCAAAGGAGTTACTCTGCCTCTACTTATCAGGTCCGGTTGATTTAATCCGTCCTTACCGAGCATCTATGTTTGTCCTGTACAGCAAATCTGTAGACAGGAATGTTAAGTTTAGGTTCTCTTCCCTCAGGAGCTAATAATATCGTTGAGGAGACAAGATATATTTGCCTGGTAGATTTCACTCCAGAATAACTAGGAACCCATAGAAGAGATGGTGGCAGACAATGTGTGATTTAAGCCATATTGAAGTTCTGAATCCATCTTGCACGTGTCTACGTCAATGGCTGTGAGAACATACATGGTTTAGAAGTGAAGTTCCAGAGCTGTGTAGTTCTCTGCATAGGCCTAACTCAGAGCCCCAGAAGTTAGGCACTTCAGAAAAGTACTTTGATGATAATGATGATGATGACGATGATGACGACAACTATAACTTCAATGACTCACCATGTACCCAATGTCCTGACAAAAAGCAGAAGGGAGACTACCCACCAATGACAGTTTCTCTTCATTCATTCTGTTTGTGTCCCTCCCCCACTCCAACCCAGCTATTCATTAACTTTGTAGAATTATCTTGGCAGTGAAAACTAAACAGTGACAGATTGCATACAGGTTTTATCTGCTCCTGGGAATCTTAAGTTGCTTAGTTGTAGGGTTGAAGTAGCCACTGCAAAGTGATAAACCAGCATGTAGCATTATCTGGCTGGATTCTTCAAGCAACTGTGAAATGAAAGAAATGGGGCTACACCTGGGTCTTGGACATCAGGGTTCAAAAGGAAGCTGAAGCAAAAGAGGAGATAAAGACCAACCAAAGGGAAGGACAATTCAGTTGGAGGAGGACATGAGAAGACTGCTACTATCAAGCTAGTGGGTTCAGCAGAGATATTCTGAACCTGGGAGAACTGAAAAACATCCCAGTTTGCCTGGGACATCCCCATCGATGTGCTTCCAATTGGTAGGAATTGGTAGGTGAGACGATGTCTAGAGATTTCCACAAGTCTGGGTGGAAAGGGAATGAGGATCCAGAGGACCCTCTGATCTGAGGGTCTGAGAAGAGAACCAGGGTTTGCTATTCAAGGTGGCTATTAGTGATCTCCACCAGTAACATCCATTTAGTACCCACTGTATGGAAAGCTCACGTCTAGGCTCTATGGGCAATACTGAGTAACCCATAGGCAGTCCTTACATTCAAGCCAAGGCTGAACAATATGTCCAGCCAAATTCATCTCTTCACTTCCCACCACACCACATCCCAAAACAGCTTTCCCTCCTAACTTCCTAATTTCAAGAAATGTTATCAACATTTGCCTGGTTGCCCAGGTACAAAAACAGGGGTTTTATATTTCAGTCTTCCCTATTCTTCACCCAAAGATATCTATCCAAGCACCAAGTCCAATAACTGCGCTACTGCAGTGTCTATAAATTGCATCTCATCCAGTCACGGTTCTGTTTCATTATCGCATGGCTCCTAGTTCTTTCAGTGCTTGTATAAGTGCCTCAGCCCCTATTCTCCAGTCTTTTCTCCCACTGCTCCCCAACACAAAGCCTCAATTTCAGCCAGCTTTCACTTCTATCCATTCCCTCAGGGGTTCCTTTCATTATCCAGCCTAGACGCCCTGCTGGGAGACCCCTATACCCCTGGGCCACTCCTCTCTCTCTCTCTCTCTGAAACCCACCTGAGCTCTCAACTCCCATCAGGGCATCTCTCAAGTAGGAAACCTTTCCTGACCTCACTAGTCCACAGTGATGGTTCCCACTTCTGAACTCTGCAGCATATCACAACTCTTTTATGTTATCTCCCCAGGGAGGCTGTCAGATCCTGGAAAATACAGGCTCTTCCTTTCTAAGCCCTCAGCACCTCAAACCTCGAACACTTTTCTGCACATATAGCAAGCAACCAATACAACTGCTGGTTAATGAAGTTGCAAACACACAGAGATATGGTTACCTTTAGGGAAACAGATGAGGATAGGAGAGAGGATTTTATTTTCCCTATGTTTCTTTCTATACTGTTAGAATTTTCTTCCCTTTATCCAGAGATCACTTACATTTTTTTATTGCCATGTTATCTTGGCAGAGAGATCGTGACCTTTATTTTCTCACTTTTGCCTTTTGTTCATTTATTCAACAAATATTTATTGAGCAACTACTATATGCTAGACACTGTTCTAGGTGCGAGGGTTATAACAGTAAACAAGGCAAGGAGAGTTCTTGTCTTCATGGAGTTTACATTCTTGTTGGGGAAGAAGGCAAATAAACATATAAACATACATCCAATGTTGAGAAGTGCTATGAAGGGTAAGGGGACAGAGAGTTACAAAGTGTTGCTATTTTAAAAGGGTGATGTGTCAAAGAAGGCCTCCCTGATAAAATGACACGGAGGCAGAGACCTGCAAGAAGATGAGGAGCAAGTCATGAAACATCTGGGGGAAGAGTATTCAGGGAGAGTGAACATTAAGTGCCAAGGTCCTGAGACAGGAATGTGTTTGAGAAACAATAAGGAGGCCAGAGTAGCTGGAGAGGAGCAGGCAAGGAAGAGAATAACATATTTTTGTTTATTTAACAAAATCTGATTTAGTACCCACCACGTACCAGGTACTGTTCTAGGTACCTTACATACATTAACTCATTTACTTCTCACAACAATCCTATGTGGTAGATACTATTATCCCCATTTTGCAGATGATGAAACTGGGGCACAGAGAGGTTAAGTCACTTGCCCTATGTCACACAGCTGGCCACTGGTAGAGCCAGGATTTAGATCCAGGTAGTATGGCTCCAAGGTCTGCACCCTTAGCCAACATGCATAGGATAAGTGGGGGTGAGGGGAACAGATCAGGCAGGGACATGTTGGGTAGCAACTTTAGATTTTACTCAGTGTGAGGTGAGAAGCCAACAAAGGATTTTAGTCTGGCTTACATTTTAGCAGGATCACCTTGGCTGCAAACTGTGGGGTTGAGGAGAGTACCTAGGATAGAGTCAAGGAGACTAGGAAGCTTTGCAATAATTCAGGCAGGAGATGATGGTGGTTTGCCCCAGGGAGATAGCAAGGGAGAGGGTGTCCCATGCTGATATTTTTTTAACAAAAAAATCTTTTATTATTATTTTTTTAATGTTTACTTATTTTTGAGAGAGAGAGACACAGAGTGCAAGACACACACAGAGTGCAAGTTGAGAAGGGGCAGAGAGACTCAGAATCCGAAGCAGGTTCCAGGGCCTGAGCTGTCTGCCCAGAGCCTGATGTGGGGCTCAAACTCACAAACCGTGAGATCATGACCTGAGCTGAACTCAGACACTTAACCAACTGAGCCACCCAGGCGCCCCAGAGAAAATACTTTTAAAAAGTAAAGAACACACATGACACCAACGTAAAGGCATATTCTATGTTTATGAGTGCTGGGATGCTGGGCTAGATGCTGGGGATACTACAGTAAACAAGACCATAAGACCCAGTCCCTGCTCCTGAATAGCTCAAAATGTTGCCAGATATTTACATTTATGAATAAATATAATACAAAGGGATGAGGGTCAAAATGAAGGTATGAATGAAATGTCACTGGAACAAGTTGAGGAATCAATTAATTCTGACTACCAGGGGTCAAAGGGAGCTGGGATTGGAAAAGAGATTGTCAGGGAAAGCTATGGTGAGGCAGAGGACAGTTGAGCTGCACCTTGAAGGCAGTCACCATGAAGATGGAAGACGGGATGGATGCCATGCAGAGAGAGCATTTCAAGCAGAAGAATCACAAGAGACAAATACATCAAAGTGTGAAAAGTGTACGGTGTGACCAGGAGATGGGATGGGGCAGGGCATCCCATGAAGATGGAAGGTTTCAGGCCATTTTATGAAAGGCCTTGCAGATGCAGCCAAGAAGGTCAGATTCCAGCCTGCAGGCAATGAGAAATGATCATATGGCTTAATCAGTCAGTCATTCAACCAAAGAACAAGCCAGCCACTAGTTGAGGACCTGCCATATGCAAACACTGTATTAGGTGCTGAGAATACAAAAGGTAACATGTTAAGTCTAGAGAGAAAAATACATGTCGGGAAAAAATACAATGCAAGTATTGTCCCTTGACCCTGGGGATAAAATGGTCAATTTTATTTCAGATCACCTTGGAACAAGTATGGAAGATGGATTAAAGGCATGCAAGTCTTGATTCTGGGGGACCAGTTGGCTGTGATGGAAAGAACAAAAGTCAACAGATTTCAGTGGCACATGTTGACTAAAGTAGACATGGGCAGTGAGGAAACAT